AATGAAAGAATTATTCCTTTTTTAAAATCTAAAAAAAGTCCGCGACAGTATATGTTTTTTTTTTAAGATTAACTTTCAAGAACGACGGGACGCGGACGAAGTTGTGGGCAAAAGCTTAAATCTATAAAGATGAATAATAGGTTTGCCACAACAAATGTGGATGACCAAAATAACTATTCTAAGCGGGCGAAGTCGCTGACACAGCTAGTAAATATATAAATTACCAAGACACCATATTAAAACACATTTTTGTCTATTTATGAAATAATTTTCAGTCACGATTGCCTTTTATTTAAACAATTTTATTTTAAATTTATAATTTTAAAGATGTATACAAAGTCTACATTTTTAACAGGACTATCAGAGAAACTCTCACTTTGAACAAATGAACTAATGGTTATTCGCAGAAGTCTGGCCTGAGCGATTCGTCTTGTAAGAGGATTAAGCCGCTTACCATGTCCGACCAGCGAGTAAGTCTGGACGTACTAGGACCTACCTGGCACTAGACATTCTCATATTGGAGCTGAGTGAGTTCCTAAAGCTTTCGTGGGTAGGGATTACTATACGGGATATATAAATTGGGCAACCGTGGGTCGATTCTATTAGCCGGTTTAAGGATATTTCTATTGTCTATATAATATCAAGAGTATCAAGAGGATTACTTTAATTAAAGGTGAATTAATTTAACTAAACCATGTTAACGGTTTAAAACACGCATTTTTTAAGTTAACCCTATTGAAAACTATTTTAACTACGGCCTGATGTATCGGACGCTTTGCAGCAGCCGTGGTCACGGGGAGATTAAAGATGGAGGGTGTCTCTAATGTCAAAGAAAAGGTGCTACGCCAGCGCCATCCAATGTGTACTACTCACGTAAACTAGAGACAATATTTAAAGTGAATTAAACTAACCTGACATCTAAATAAGCGCATCTTATCAAGCGCATGTCATCCTGTTTTGACACGCCACATTTAGAAATCCACAGAAGCTGCTTCGGTACCCGGACGGAACTTCGATATTCCTACTACCCATAAATATTTTTAAAGACATGTTTTTAGAATCGTCATTTTAACATTAGCTTACTACTTACTATCATTTGACCTAGACTCTCGATAAAGCTTCCTCCATAGTTAAATTTCTACAAGCATTACGTTAAGTGAGAGGATTCGTGGGTTCGAATCCCGGGGAAACATAGCGCGTGGTAAAGCACAATTTTTGAATGATATCTTCATTTAATATATTAGTAGTAGTAAGAAATTTCTATTCACTATACAATTCTAATGGTATGACCATTAGAATTTTATAGTATATGGTACCCAGAAACAATAATATTCTAATTAACTGTAGGGAAAAGCAGTAATGTTTGGATCGCATATAAGCACTCCACTTAATCAACACGAACTAAAATAATTGAATTATCTAAAATATGTTTTTGTGGTTTTTGGCGATTTTTAAGGTTATATTTTTATTTGTTTACGACACACAACGTAAATCAATTCAATATGACTTATATATTGACATACTAATTAACCTTAATTGTATAATAATAATACTTTTTTAATGATTAATAAAGACGACTAAAAAGGTTTACGTACACAAAACTGTATTTATTGCAAAGTAGTTAGTAATAACTAAAGCGAACTTAACTGTGTTCATTCTAATACACTATGCAGAAAAATGTTAGTAAAGATTCTTTAAACATATATATATTTTTATGTTCTTTAGATCTTCATAGACTTAATTTAAAAACTGATAGGAAAAGTTGTAGCATAGGATTCGAGTCTGGTGTCGCGATCTAGTTTTGAGCAAGTTGTATTTGAAACTAGGCTGTATCAACGGTCTTTGAAGCTGTGTGTTTTGCTTGCCTCGTTGTGTAGGTAATTAGCATTTAAACAAAACACTGGTAACGGTGTAAACTACGAAATATTTTAGTTAACTGATTTACAATTTATTTTTATTGACGTTTCAGATGTGCGGCAGTCGTCATGGACGAAGATACGTACTAAAAACGATATGGTGTACGTCATTTAAATGCTGAAATATACTAGATAACTTATTTACGCTATATGTAAACTTGTATAATAATTTCATACATTTCGCGTTTTAAACCGTTATAAGTGTTTCTTTTAAATATGTATACCTATAACCTTGCTCTTAATGATCTTTTAACATCCTTTATGGAAAATTTAAAATAGGGAATGGAAAGCTGATTCTATAGACTGCTTATTAGGCCTTCAATAAAAATAAGTGTGATAGGTGTATGTAATTATAATAATAAAAACTAATTTTAATTATGTTTTTAGCATTCCTTCTATTGATATTAATTATATTGAATAATGTATTAACATAAATTTAAAAAATATAATATATAATTAACAAAGTACATAGTCATTAATAACTGTAACACGCCGATTCACCAAAATAAAACGGCCCATCGCGTGCGCATTCAATCAGGGCCTATCTGCTCCACGTGACAGCCGACTTAACGCGAAAACAAAATCTATTTGTTTATAATTTAATTTTGATTATCATTGATTTTAAATTGGTTTTGTGACAAATCAGTCTTTTTTTTACGATCAAACTACGTGACTTGTAAGTATTTTGTTATTTGATTCGTATTTATAACTGTAAAACACTTGTACATTTATTTTATTCGTGATAACCAATACATAATAACATTTTTAAAGTAATGTTCAAAAACACCTTTAAATTAATATGGTCTAACGAAAGAAAAACGTTACTTACCCACTGCAAAAATTAAGAGAATCGCTTTTTCTTATCACATTAATTACGCAGGGTATAAAAATAACAATAATATCAGTTTTACATTGTCGTTTTTCTTTTTGGAAGTAATTTGTAAGCTTATGACAATGGATAATTTAATTGGCCGTGGGTTAAGATTGGTTTTTTTTTTTTTTTTGTTGTAAATTTTAACTATTAACAGTTTCATTCGTTTATTTGAATTAGTTATCAAAAAATATGAGTAATGTGTAAAAACAAAGTAGACTTCTTTCTTTTTAATCTACTTAAGACCAATTATATTGGACATATTATTTTGCTAGATATCAAAAAAAAAAAAATATTAATTATCAATAATGTTTCTATCGATATTAGATTATATTTAACATTTAATGTAATATAGACGGTAACAGTGTTTTGTTTTTATGCATATTCATAATACTTATACTAAATATCCTAAATTGTTCACTACTGTATAATGATTATACACAAAGTCTTTTCGCTATGTGATATCCAGTTGACATGGGGCTTGGGGCGAACACACATTTGGTCTGACCGATATTTCGATGGAAGCAAGTAGATCAGTCCTGTGGCATGAATATCATTCAAAGAGACAGGCTTTTGTAAACATATTGTGTTAATCTTAGTTTTTGTTAAAAGCTTTTGCATTTAAATAAAACACTTTAACGGTTTAAAACGCGATATATTAGATTTTTAACTTCGGCCCGACGTTTCGAATGCTTTGCGCCAGTCGTGGTCACGGGGAGACTCCCCGTTTTATTTAAATGTGCAATACTCGCGTAAACTATAGACAGCTTTTGCATTATCATTTTAGGCGATACTTTAGCGGTCATCCCAAGTTTGGGTCAATGACCTCCACTTTGAAACACTTAACTGGAAATAAAGTTTGCGATATACCTACCATCTGTTATAACAAAAGAGCTTACTCTTGTGTTAATAAATGGCGGGCGTTGGTCTAATGTATGTCTAATATTCAACGGGTTCGATTCCCACTAGGTTTCATCAGATCCCATCATGTTTGTAATTAAATTACAATTTGTCTGAAAGATGGACTATCTGGATTAGATGGGTGAATCGAAATCCCCCCGGCAAACCCCCCCCCCCCGGCCCCAACGGCCCCCCCCCCCCCCCCCCCCCCCTCCCCCCCCCGGGGGGGGGGGGGTGGGGGGGCGGGGCCCCCGGGGGGGGGGGGGGGGTGTTTCCCCCCCCCCCGGGGGGGGGGGGGGGTTTCCCCCGGGGGGGGGGGGGCCCCCCCCCCCCCCCCCCCCCCCCCCCCCCGGGGGTGTTCCCCTTTGTTTTTTTTTTGGGGGGGGGTTTTTTTTTCCCCCCCCTTCCCCCCCCCCCCCCGCGCGGGGGGGAAAAAAAAACCAAAAAACCCCCCCCCTTTTTAAAAAATTTTTTTACCAACCCCCCCCCCCCCCCCTCCCTTTTTCCCCCCCCCCTTTCCTTTGGGCGCCCGGGGGCGCCCCCCCCCCCCCCCCCCCCCCCCCCCCCCCCCCCCCCCCCCCCCCCCCCCCCCGCCCGCCCCCCCCCCCCCCCCCCCCCCCCCCCCCCCCCCCCCCCAAAACGTAAAAAGTAATTTTATATATTGCTAATGTGCATGTAATTTATTAACAATGCATTTAGTTTGTATTATACAATTATTTTTTTAAATTCGTAACTAATAAAGCGTCCAAAAATAGAAAAGCATATACAAAAAACGCGTCGTATAATCTGGTGGCTTTCATCGTGTCATATTTAAAAAATATAAATACTATAGTCATTATACTAAAATAACTTGAGTATTTAGTATGCCAGTAACTAAATAGTGACAATAAATAAATACCCCAGCTATATATTATCCAAACAAGAGGCGCAGTCGACCTATTTCGGCTTTGGATATTCGGAAATCCACAGACTGAAACTGAAACGCGAAAAAAACTTCATTTTTCGTCTGTGGACGATGATTTGTAACCGGGATAAAATTTCGACTTTCCCACCACCCAATTTATATCCAAATTTCCAGACGAAGTCCAACATGTTTCTGAAAAAATATAAATTCATTTAAAACACTTTGGACGCGGCCGTAGATACTTTGCTACCATTACACTAAAGAACCCGTCAACTATCCTTAGTAATACCGTCAATCAAACATTTCAGTTTTATAAGATTTTCAATTTTTGTTAGATTTTTTCAGGCGATGGCACCGAACACAGAACGCCAGGTCAGCTTTCCAAATCTGCCGTACCCCCATTTGCGGGATGACCTACCGAAAACCGCGCACCAATGGATCGATGGTAAACGGGAGCAGGATGGCGCTGAAGGCCTCTGGAGAATCCATGATGGTTTATACGATTTCACAGACTTCATCCAATCACATCCCGGGGGGCACACAATGGCTAGAATGTACTAAGGTATACTTTAAAATTTACATAACACTTATAGATTGTAGACAGGACAAAGAAAGCAAAGAAACTTGACCCAGACAGAATTTCAATAGTCCTACCAGGTTGGGACTAGTTATATAGACTGTGCTTAATTTACAAATTGATTTACAAGCTTGCAGGATTTTGCGGTAGTCGAACCCACAACCCGATCGGTGGATAAATTTTGAATAATCTTTATTTTGTTAGTGTGGCCCCCAAGTAATATTATAATAGTAAGAATTGCAAAAGATAGCTAAGAAATGGGCTGTATTTCCTAGCTTTTGTTGTCTTCTTTCCTTCTCTTAACGTAACTGAATGACAGACTACTGTAGTAATTTATTATTTTGTTATTTTCCACGACTATTTTCCACAGTTCACAGATATAAACCAGTTAATGTAAATTCTAATCGCTGTTCTACAGTATTTCATAAATAAACAAATACATTTCTAAGTTTAGTATTACACTTTTAAACTTCTGATGATATAAATAAAATAAACTTAACGATTTGAAACGAAACATTCGGATAGATGTTGAGTAGCTTCACAAATAAATATATATTTATTAGATACTCGTATTATAAAGCTAAAGAGTATGTTTGTTTGTTCGAATTTTAATATTTTTATGTTGGGGAATGTGGAAAAAAGGGAGATTCATCATCTTTGACTCCGTTGCATGTGTTACGAAAACGGTCAAAGTAACGAAAAATAAGTATAAAAGAATGATTCCCCTTTAAATTATCTACAAAAAAAGTTCTAGACAGTATATGTCTATCTTTTATACTATATTATAATTCCCAAGAACGACGACGTAGGCTAGAAATTATAGATATAAGAAGGTTGTTTGCAAAAATAAATTTTGAAATCTAAAATAACTGTTTGACGCGGATAAAGTAGCTGGCACAGCTAATGTATCTCACTATACATGTACATACGTATACATAACGTTCACTACAAAAAAACCGTATACGATTGGTATTTTAATCGATCCCAAATCCTTTTCAGGGCACTGACATAACAGAGCAATTCCTAACACATCACTTAAGCGGGAACGCCGAATCAATCATTCCGAAATATTTCGTTCGAAAAACGAAGCAGCCGAAAAATTCGCCCTTTACGTTCGCAGACGACGGCTTTTATTCGACGCTCAAATCAAAGATAGTTGAAAAACGAAAGGAAATACCGAAGGACGTGAGAAAGAAAAGCGATTTGATTACCGACATGTTACTAGTGCTATTCCTAATTGGAAGCCCTTTAACTTGTTGGGTTTGGACGCAGAATCTCCTACTGGGACTTGCGTCTACTGTCGTGGTCAGCTACGTCCTAACCTGCCTTACTTTCTGCGGACACAACTATTTCCATAGAACCGACAGCTGGAGGATGTATGTGTTTAATATATGTGGATTCTCTTATTCGTAAGTAATTTTTTTTGTTTATTTGGGTAAGTGTAGTCTTTCCCCTATGGCGGGTGGTGGAAACACATTTCTGTGTTCGTTTATTGTTTATTTGGTATTTCTACAGAACAATAATCATAAGCCAATAATGGATTTCACAATTAAGAAAAATCATAAAAATTTGTAAAACTAAGATCTATTTAACAAAAGAAATTAAAAAAACCAAATTTAACGACGAGAGGGCAAATACTTAATTGAGGAAGGACATTTTCAGTTTTCATTTGCCTTTAAAAAAATATATTATTTCCTAGGATTTTAATTATTAAATATTATTATGTGATTAAACAGGTGTATAAATGTAAAAACGGTAATATTTTTCACATACAGAGAAATGTATGATATTTAGTATGTTTCTTAAGCACTTATTCAACATTAGAATCTTCATATTCAATACAACTTTATTCTTAACTTTAAAAAAAGATAAATTAAGCATATTTTTTACCTACCAATTAACATCAACTTTATAATTTAATATATTAATACGCTAAATTTCATTGTTTTATCGTGAGATCACTTCCAAGAAACATGTTACGTGCCATCATACTTAGCAATACTTTTGAGAATACCTTATTTTTTGTACTGATTTCTGCAGTAGTTACGCTATATTTTGTTGTAGTAGAAATAGTTTTTTCAAAATCTTTACGAACGGCAGATAATAGGACAAATTGAACGAAATGCGCACAAACATCCAATGTTCAAAATCCGTGCTGTTGCTCTCCACTTGAGCTCTTGGGTATGGAGTAACAGCACGGAACACGTTCTGTGCCGGGTAATCTGTTATAATTTAAAATACTTTTATTCATTAAATAAATTAATACTGTTTCAATAATTCTGATGGAAGTGCAGAAGCTCTACCACATTCTTCTAAAATGTTTATTGATAAAATGTTTTATTGTTCTAGGGACTGGCGGGTAACACACGCAATGTCACATCATTTACATACAAACACGGCTCAAGACATTGAACTGGGATTATTAGAGCCGTTCCTTCAGTTCCTGCCGAATCCCAATAAACCAATTTTGGTGCAAATGGCTGCTTTTTACTATCCCGTTATATACGCGTTCGTTATCTTGGGATGTTTGATAAAGGAGTATGTATTTTGTTTTGTCTATTTGTTATCTAATACATAGGATTATACTTTTCTTTATATTATATTTAAATAAAACACTTTAACGGTTTAAAACGCGATATATTAGTTAAACTTATTTAAAAATGATTTTTAACTTCGGCCCGATGTTTCGGATGCTTTGCAGCAGCCGTGGTCACGGGGAGACTAAAGATGGAGGATGTCTCTGACGTCAAAGTAAAATTGGTTTCAGGAATTGCTGAATCTTCTTGTGCGGCTTGAAAATTGTGTCAATAGAAGCTAGATCTATCTGTAACTCCCTTCACATATGGTAGGTAGGCGGGCTGACGTTTAACTGTGGGTGGCTTGTTCCTGTTCCTGGGATGCTGCGGAGGAAATCTCAGCTTGTTCTTGCATAGGACCTGCTTGACATGCTGTAACTCCTCATTTAAGTGAGCAGCATCACAAAGACGGCGGGTTCTCTGAAACAAATATACTCCGACAGAACTAAGTTGGGTGGGGTGGTGATGTGAGTCACCGTTCAAATACCTATCTGTATGGGTTTTTTCTAAAAACGGTATGCCCAACGGTATTACCGTGTTCATCACGAATTACTAAAATGTCTAAGAAAGGTAGAGTGTTATTGTCCTCATGTTCCATTGTAAACTTAATGTTATTATGAATTGAGTTAAGGTGTTTAAGAAATGCGTGTGCTTGTGCTTTGGGTAAGATGGTGAAAGTATCATCTACGTATCGCTTGTAAAGCTTAGGTTTAACCGGGGAAGAAGCAAGGGCCCTCTCCTCAAAGTCTTCCATAAAAATGTCAACAACTAAGGGTGAAACTGGAGAACCCATGGCTACCCCATCTACCTGAACATAGAAATCCCCATTCCAAAGTAGGTACCCGGTTGTCAAGCAGTGTTCTAAGATATTCGCATATTCTATGGGCATGTTGTGTTTAATAAGTTTGCTCTTAATAATTTTGATACAATCAGCTATAAGTAAGTTTGTAAAGAGTGATGTGATGTCAAAGCTTACCATAACCTACAACATACAAAACTAATCAGTTAGTAAATTTAATTCAATTAACACATTCTCTAAAGAGATTTTTTTTATTGATAGTGGAGGACAGATAAGCTCGGGGTAGACTTGATGATGGTTGAAATTCCCCAGCCTATAATTTTGGATATTCGGAAATGAACAGACTGAAATCGAAACCTGATTTAACTTCAGGGCTTTGTCATCTGTGGACGGAGGTTCGTGACACGGACGGAATTTCGATATTCCTACCAGCCATTTTATATCCAGATTTCCAGACGAATTCCAATATGTTTCAGAAAAATTATAAATTTTTTAGAAAATGAATGTTGGCCCCGGTGGGGAACCTAAACCACGACCTGTTCATTATTAGCCGTACTTTGCTAGCATTGCACCATTGCCCGTCAATGTAAATTCGTCTAATAAACAAATCATTGTAAATGTTCGCCAGCTCTGCAGAAGTAGCCTAACTGCATAGTCTAAAAATGTTAACACTGCCGAAAAGTGTTAACATAATTTTTACATAAATGAATTAACCATTTTAATTCATTTTCGCCTGAGTTAATTGTGCATTCTTTTTCTCCTTATTGAAAATAATAATTTTTGCTATTAGGCCACTCTGCCTCTAGCAGGCTCATATACGCCGCGGATTTATGTATTCCATTCGCGATATTTAAAACATTTTCAACATTTTCCATTTCAGCGTGGCAGTTAGTTTAGCGGGATATCGTGGGAAAAAACTGACGTGGACTAATGTCATCCCATTTGCTGTACCGGTGTGGATGTGGCTGGCCAGCGGATCATACTTTCCATGGGTGATAAGCGTATGGCTCCTGATGATTATATTAAGTAGTGAATTCTTCGTGATCTTTGGGTTGACAGCTGGTCATCTTTCTCACACGAACTTCTTCGAAGGAGATATACCTCGGTAAATTGCTTTACTATAATTCTGATAAGATTACATGAACATATGAGATTTGATTTTTACTCTTGGGAACATAACTATGATATGCTGTCTGCGCGGCTTCGAGCCCAGCCTGTCTCATAGATGTTTAACGAGAGCAAGAAGAAAACTTTCCATGCAAACAAGAAATGTATTAAATTCCACGTCCCATTAAAATAATGCTAGGATATTTTTTTAATTTTTTTTTAAGTCACATTTACGCCAGTATTCTTTGTGTTTTTACAGATTATAGTAACGCCTTACTCCACCTCTGTAGCTAAACGGGTAGACGTGTTGCCTAGCATTTGGTTAAGCGCTAGAGGTCCTGGGTTCGAATACCAGGAAACTCTTGTCAGGCAGGGCTCAGAAGGCTGATCAACTACTTGCTTATACTGTTTGTAGTTTACGCTAGTAGTGCACATTAAAATAAAACACTTTACCGGTTTAAAACGCGATATATTAGTTAAACTTATTTGAAAAGGATTTTTAACTTTAATAATAGTACAAATGCATTTTCGCCTAAGTTATTTGCGCATTTTCATTTTCCTCCTTAATCCTCCGTAATTTTCATTATTAGGCCACACCATCTCTAGTAGCCTCAATTTTGTACGGATATAGTAAAAAGTTGTAACATTATTTTAATGTACATTACTATATTTTCAGATCAGACAAAATCGACTGGGGCATTCACCAGATAGATACGATAGTGGAAAACATCGACAACGCCGGAAACCACTTCAAGTCGATAACAAGATTCGGTGATCACGCCCTCCACCACCTCTTCCCAACTTTGGACCACGCTGAGCTGAAGTACCTTTATCCAACACTATTGGAGCATTGCGAAAAATACGACACCCAACTCCGCATGACGAATTTCTATAACGCTCTATTGAGTCAAAGTAAGCAACTCATTCGCAAACGACCCAACAATTTCAGGGAAAAGACAGCAAACCCCTTGTGATAACGTCAGCGGACAAAGTAAATCGTAAACGGTGTATGAAGGCAAGAAAGACATTTCCGATTTCCATCAAAAGGATCTTGGAGAGATTTTAGTAAGCTTTGCTTACTCGTGTTCTGTTAATCGTGTTAGATAGGTTAAATAAATAACTTAAAAACACACGCAGGACTCAAATCTACAATGTTAGTTATTAAGCCAAGTTGCTTTTACCAACTAGGTTCTAGTCGTGGGTTCGAGTTCCACCCGGGTCACATCTATTTTCATTTTTAATAGATTCTTAATTTATTTGAAGCTAATCTTTCATGAATTTAAATCTGTTTACAAGCTTTGCCAAATATGAAAGAGTTTATTCCATTTATTTATATTAGATACATTACTTATTTTAATGATTTTTATGTTGTAATTTTTTTTTTGTATATGTTTATAGATAGTTACATTTTTCTCTTGTATTTTACTGCGTTATATTATAAACAAGCAACGCTTTGCTTGTTTGTGAAATGCTTATGTCTTAATTTATATAAGGAAAAATACTACTGTACATGTATATTGTTGATAATAATACAGTAATTTATACAAATATATAAAGCTAAAGAGTTTTTTTGTTTGTTTGATCGCGCTAATCTCAGGAACAACTGGTTCGAATTGAAAACTATTTATCGTTATCATTATTTTTGTGTTGGTTAGAACATTTATCGATGAAGGTTATAGGCTTATAATACATGTCGTTGTGACTAATACAAGCGAAGGTATAGTAAGAATTGTGAAAAAATGGGATAATTATTCATCTTTATGGGTAACCGATATCTAAAAAATATGTATGAAAGAATAATTCCTCTTTAAATGATCTAAAAATGACACATTATATGTTTATCTTTTAAGATTAACTTGCAAGAATAGCATAAATATATAAAAATGAATAACAGGTTTGCCACACCAAATGTGGATGCCCAAAATAACTATTCGAAGCGGGCGAAGTCGCTGACACAGATAGGAAATATATAAATTACCACGACACCGAATTAAAACACATTCTTATCTATTTATGAAATAATATTCAGTCACGATTGTCTTTTATTTAAATAAATTTATTTTAAATTTATAATTTTAAAGATGTATACAAAGTCTACATTTTGAACAGGAGCATCACAGAAACTCACTTTGAACAAATGAACTAATAGTTATTCGCAGAAGTCTGGCCTAAGCGATTCGTCTTGTAAGAGGATTAAGCCGCTTACCATGTCCGACCAGCGAGTAAGTCTGGACGTACCTGGCACTAGACATTCTCATATTGGAGCTGAGTGAGTTCCTAAAGCTTTCGTGGGTAGGGATTACTATACGGGATATATAAATTGGGCAACCTTGGGTCGATTCTATTAGCCGGTTTAAGGATATTTCTATTATATAGACATATCAAGAGGATTACTTTAATTAAAGGTGAATTAATTTAACTAAACCATGTTAACGGTTTAAAACACGCATTTTTTTAAGTTAAACCCATTGGAAATTATTTAATTACGGCCTGATGTATCGGACGCTTTGCAGCAGCCGTGGTCACGGGGAGATTAAAGATGGAGGGTGTCTCTAATGTCAAAGAAAAGAGTGCTACGCTAGCGCCATCCAATGTGTACTACTCACGTAAACTAGAGACAATATTTAAAGTGAATTAAACTAACCTGACATCTAAATAAGCGCATCTTATCAAGCGCATGTCATCCTGTTTTGACACGCCACATTTAGAAATCCACAGAAGCTGCTTCGGTACCCGGACGGAACTTCGATATTCCTACTACCCATAAATATTTTTAAAGACATGTTTTTAGAATCGTCATTTTAACATTAGCTTACTACTTACTATCATTTGACCTAGACTCTCGATAAAGCTTCCTCCATAGTTAAATTTCTACAAGCATTACGTTAAGTGAGAGGGTTCGTGGGTTCGAATCCCGAGGAAACATAGCGCGCGGTAAAGCACAATTGTTGAATCATATCTTCATTTAATATATTAATAGTAGTAAGAAATTTCTATTCACTTCATACCATTAGAATTCTATAGTATGATATGGTACCTAGAAACAATAATATTCTAATAAACTGTAGGGAAAAGCAATATATGCAAAAATTGTATAATATATAAATGCGTTATAAAAAAGCTAAAGATAATATACGTATAGCGTTTTATGTATGACTAAACTTTAAAAAGCAATTGCTAAGCTTAAGCTAACTCTTTCTTTCGTTGCCTAATGCGTTCAGGGGGATTCAATCCCCAAAACTGTGTTTAAGTTGCAGGACAGAGTCTGATTCTTGCCTGTACAAGAAACGCGTAACGACCGCAAATGCATACACAAATGTGTTCGCCCCATTCACCAAGGGGCATATTCCTTTCAAGAATAGGCCGTTAAGTATAATCTTACATAACATATTTATTTTAAACGCAATGATTATAATTGCGTTAGTAATATAATTTTCATATGAAATTAATAAAGAGTCTAGTAAAATATAATTATAGGAAAATAAGATAATTAGACAATTACCTTTATTATATAACTATTATTGCGTAATTATCGTAGTAGAAACTTAATTGGTTTTCTATAATTCCACGGAGATATGCAAGTTATTAATTAAATATTTATTAATTCGATAATATAAATTATATTACATTCAAATTGAGCACCTTTTATTTATTTTAAGTTGTATAAATAATTATATATAAGTTAAACCATATATTTTGCATTTGAAACCGTTAAAAGGGTTTTATTTAAATGTATACCTCTCGCGTAATTTACAGACAAAGTTCAGTTTGTTAACAAAATATGTTTGGATCGTATATGAGCAACTCCACTTAATCAACACGAACTAAAATAATTGAATTATCTAAAATATGTTTTTATGGTTTTTGGCGATTTTTAAGGTTATATTTTCATTTGTTTACGACACACAACTTATCAGAATAGATTTATATATTGACATACTAATTAACCTTAATTGAATAATATAATACTTTTAAATAAACTAAGGTAAAACGCAATATATTATTTAAACTTATTTGAAAATGATTTTTTTAAACCGTTAAAGTGTTTTATTTAAATGTGTACTACCCGCGAAAATTATAGACAGTATTTAACTTTAAAGACTCAAGACGGCTAAGAAGGTTTACGTACACAAAACTGTATCTATTGCAAAGTAGTTAGTTATAACTAAAACGAATATAAAATGTAATTTGTTTGTCGCCGCAAGGACCTTTAACTGTGTTCAATCTAATACACTATGCAAAAAAATGTTAGTGAAGATTCTTTAAAAATATATATATATTTTTATGTTCTTTAGATCTTCATAGACATAATTTAAAAACTGTGATAGGAAAAGTTGTAGGATAGGATTCAAGTCTGGATGTCGCGATCTAGTTTTGAGCAAGTTGTATTTGAAACTAGTTCTTTTAGGCTGTATCAACGGACTTTGAAGCTGTGTGTTTTGCTTGCCTCGTTGTGTAGGTAATTAGCATTTAAACAAAACACTGGTAACGGTGTAAACTACGAAATATTTTAGTTAACTGATTTACAATTTATTTTTATTGACGTTTCAGATGTGCGGCAGTCGTCATGGACGAAAATACGTACTAGAAACGATATGGTGTACGACATTTAAATGCTGAAATATACTAGATAGCTTATTTACGCTTTCTGTAAACTTGTATAATAAACTCATACATTTCGCGTTTTAAACCGTTTTAAGTGTTTCTTTTAATGTGTATTAAACTACTAACCTTGCTCTTAATAATATCTTTTAACATTCTTTATGGAAAACTTAAAAAGGGAATGGAAAGTTGATTCTATAGACTGCTTATTAGGCTTTTAATAAAAAAACTGTGAGAGGTGCATGTAATTATAATAATAAAAATTAATTTTAATTATGTTTTCCAGCATTCCTTCTATTGCCATTAATTATATCTAAATAAATTTATAATTAAGAAAGTACAGTCATTTAGTAATTTAAGCGAAACCAATTAATAGCTGTAACACGCCGATTCACCAAAATAAAACGTCCAATCGCGTGCGCATTCAGTCAGGGCCTATCTGCTCCACGTGACGGCCGACCTAACGCGATAACGAAAACTATTTATTTATTTGTTTTTAATTTTATTTTGATTATCATTGATTTTTAATTGGTTTAGTGGCAAATCTAACTTTTATCCACGATTGAACTACGTGACTTGTAAGTATTTTGTTATTTATTTCGTATTTATAACTGTAAAACACTTGTTATCATTCTTTTTATGAATATGCATTAGCAATTAACTTATCTTTATTCGTGATAACCACTACATAATAACACTTTTAAAGTAATGTACATAAACACTTTTAAATTAATATAGTCTAACGGAAAAAAATCTCTACTTAGCACTGTATACAATCTACAATAAAGGAAGAGAATCGCTTTTTCTTATCACAATAATTGCGCAGGGTATAAAAATAACAATAATATATTAACATTGTCTTTTTTCACTTTGTAGCTTATGTAAGTAAATTTTTAAAGTTAAAGTTTAACGTTTACAATTGCTTTGTTGTATAATTTAAATAATACCAGTCATGGCCCGTGGGTTTTGGATTGTTTTTGTGTGTGTTGTTGTACTTGCCGTGTAACTCTAGGTATTTAACAATTTCATTCATTTAATTTCAACTTATCTTATTTCAAAAAGTTATAAAAAAATATGAGTAATGTTTAAAAAGAAAGTCGACTTTCTGTTTGTTGTTTCTTTTTTATCTTAAGACCCATTCAAGATCATATTGGACATATTATTTTGCTAGATATAAGAAAATAAAATATCAATTATCAATATTTCTATCGCTAAATCGATATTAGATTATATTTACCATTTAATGTAATAACACTTTATGTAACAGTGTTTTGTTTTTACACATTTCATAATTAAAATAGTTTTACCTTCTTACTTACATAGCTAACGTAGCCTTTATTTCATTCGCTACAATATTTTTAATTATACACAAACTCTATGCGCTATATTCCGTTTTCTACAGGGGGTTTGGGGCGGGTACATTTATATGTCCGTTGCTTTAACCGTTATTTCTATAGAAGCAAGTAGTTCAGAGTTTTATGCCGTGTCCGAAATTTTTAAATTTCCCGGCATTCTAAACAAGAATGTCATTCAAACAGAGAGGCTTTTGTAAACATATTTTGTTAATCTGTGTTTTTTTTTAAAGCTTTTGCCATATCATTTTAGGCGATACTTTAGCGGTCATCCCAAATTTAAGTCAACGACCTCCACTTTGAAACACTTAACTGGAAATAAAGTTCGCGATATACCTACTATCTGTTATAACAAAAGAGCTTACTCTTGTATTTCATAAATGGCGGGCGTTGGTCTAATGTATGTCTAATATTCAATCATTCCGACCAGGTTATCAGATCCCATAGATTCCATCATGTTTCTAATTAAATTACAAATTGTCTGAAACATGTTGCACTTCTGGAAATCTGGATATTGAATGGGTAATAACAATATCGAAATTCCGTCTGACAAACCAACGTCCACAGATCAAATAGCCATAAAGTTCCATCTCGTTTCAATATCCAAATAGCTGGAGGCATAATAGGCTGACAGCGCATCAGATGTTAGGTTGAGGTATTTCATCTTCCCTCGAGTGGAGCAGAAGTTTAATCGCGTTCGGTCTGTGGACTTCCGAATATCAAAAGCCAAAACAGGTCGATAGTGTATCTCGTTTAGATTTTAGAGGTCTGGAGTATTTATTTTTCCATAATGTAAACTCCCTTCGTTGTCTGTTAAAAGCATAATAAATAAAAATACGTACATAACGTTGTTAAAAAAGAAGTTCTTTGATTTTGTAGAAACAAAATCAAAAACATTGTTTCTCGTTTAAAAATGCTTTTAGCATAACTAGTAGAGTATATTAAACCTTTTTTTGCCCTTAAGCTGTTTAAAACTAGTTACAAACAGCTTTCGATGCTCCAGGTAAAGAATTACTTTTATTCATCAGCTCGGACTGAAAACGTAAAAAGTAATATTATATATTGCCATATGGCATGACATTTATTAACAATGCATTGAGTTTATATAAAACAATTACTTTTTTTAATTCGTAACTAATAAAGGAGCCATTAAATATTGCTGGTTTTAAACGTGTCATATTTAAAAAATATAAATATTACAGTCATTATACTAAAATAACTTGAGTATTTAGTATGCCAGTAACTAAATAGTTACCCCAGCTATATATTATCCAAACAAGAGGCGCAGTCGACTTATTTCGGCTTTGGATATTCGGAAATCCACAGACTGATACTGAAACGCGAAAAACCTTCATTTTTCGTCTGTGGACGATGATTTGTAACCGGGATAAAATTTCGACTTTCCCACCACCCAATTTATATCCAAATTTCCAGACGAAGTCCAACATGTTTCTGAAAAAATATAAATTCATTTAAAACACTTTGGACGCGGCCGTATATACTTTGCTACCATTACACTAAAGAACCCGTCAACTATCCTTACTAATACCGTCAATCGAACATTTCAGTTTTATAAGATTTTCAATTTTTGTTAGATTTTTTCAGGCGATGGCACCGAACACAGAACGCCAGGTCAGCTTTCCAAATCTGCCGTACCCCCATTTGCGGGATGACCTACCGAAAACCGCGCACCAATGGATCGATGGTAAACGGGAGCAGGATGGCGCTGAAGGCCTCTGGAGAATCCATGATGGTTTATACGATTTCACAGACTTCGTCCAATCACATCCCGGGGGCGCACAATGGCTTGAATGCACTAAGGTATACCTTAAGATTGACATAACACTTATATATTGTAGATAGGACAAAGAAAGCAAAGAATCTTGACCCAGACAGAATTTCAGACCAGTTTGGGTGTTTTAACCATGCTTGTAGGATTTGGTGGTAGTCGAACCCACAACCCGACCGGTGAATAAATTTTGAATAATCTTTTTTTGTTAGTGTGTACCACCAAGTAATATGATAATAGTAAGAATTGCAAAAGATAGCTAAGAAATGGGGTGTATTTCCTTCTTTTTTGTCATCTTTCCTTCGTCTTCAGTAACGTTAAGAAATAACTGAATGACAGACTACTGTAGTAATTTATTATTTTGTTATTTTCCACGACTATTTTCCACAGTTCACAGATATAAACCAGTTAATGTAAATTCTAATCGCTGTTCTACAGTATTTCATAAATAAACAAATACATTTCTAAGTTTAGTATTACACTTTTAAACTTCCGATGATATAAATAAAATAAACTTAACGATTTGAAACGAAACATTCGGATAGATGTTGAGTAGCTTCACAAATAAATATATATTTATTAGATACTCGTATTATAAAGCTAAAGAGTATGTTTGTTTGTTCGAATTTTAATATTTTTATGTTGGGGAATGTGGAAAAAAGGGAGATTCATCATCTTTGACTCGGTTGCATGTGTTACGAAAACGGTCAAAGTAACGAAAAATAAGTATAAAAGAATGATTCCCCTTTAAATTATCTACAAATAAAGTCCTAGACAGTATATGTCTATCTTTTAAAATTAATTAGCAAGAACGACGACGTAGGTAACAGCTAGAATTTATAGGTCTAAGCAGGTTGTTTGAAAAAAATAAATTTTGAAACCTAAAATAAGTCTTTGACGCGGACAAATTAGCTGGCACAGCTAATGTATACTCGTATACAGAAGTTTCACTACAAAAAAACCGTATACTATTGGTATTTTAATCGATCCCAAATCCTTTTCAGGGCACTGACATAACAGAGCAATTCATAACACATCACTTAAGCGGGAACGCCGAACCAATCATTCCGAAATATTTCGTTCGAAAAACGAAGCAGCCGAGAAATTCGCCCTTTACGTTCGCAGACGACGGCTTTTATTCAACGCTCAAATCAAAGATAGCTGAAAAACGAAAGGAAATACCGAAGGACGTGAGAAAGAAGAGCGATTTGATCACCGACGTGTTACTAGTGCTATTCCTAATTGGAAGCCCTTTAACTTGTTGGGTTTGGACGCAGAATCTCCTACTGGGACTTGCGTCTACTGTCGCGGTCAGCTACCTCCTAACCTGCCTTACTATCTGCGGACACAATTATTTCCATAGAACCGACAGCTGGAGGATGTATGTTTTTAATATATGTGGATTCTCTTATTCGTAAGTAATTTTTTTGTTTATTTGGGTAAGTGTAGTCTTTCCGCTGTGGTGGGTGGTGCAAACACATTTTTGTGTTCGTTTATTGTTTATTTGGGTTTTTCTACAGAACAATAAACATAAGCCAATAAACGATTTCACAATTAAGAAAAATCATAAAAAAATGAGTAAAACTAAGATCTATTTAACAAAACAAATTAAGAAAACCAAATTTAACGACGAAATACTTAATTTGGGAAGGATATTTTGAGTTTTAATTTGCCTTTAAAAAATATATATTTTTTCCTAGGACTTGAATTAATAAATATTATTATGTGATTGAATAAAAATAAAAAAAACTATTAAAATTAAAAATTACGACAAGGGCGGGACTTGAACCACCATCCACAGCGTTCCGGGTTTCTGCTCTTACCAACTGAGTTACCATGTTTGGGTGACTTGGTAGCTCAATTAGTTACAGGAGCAGCACAAAATCTGTCGATGCCAGTTTACGCCCAGTTCGTCATTTTTTTAAATCTCAATACATTTTAAATTAAACACTTACTTATTATTTTAATATTTACAAGTACATATTTACCCGATAGTTTTATAAAATATATCTATCCTAAAACAAACATTACAGCAAGTTTTGTTTTAATTTTTGAAACTACTAATCTCATTAACCATGAAAATTAAAAGGTCATAATAATCTGAACAACTTCCGAAAACCTTACGAAGAGCTCGCAAAGTCAATGTAAAAGTGACTTTGTTTAAAATGTTCAAGTGTCCTCAACCTTGAGCAATATGTTATTTAATACGCGGAAGCCAAAATCCTGTTTCAATGTAACATTATTATAAATAAATATTAATACACGATTAGGTATAATGTTAAAATTTATTGGAAAACAAATGGAATCTTTTATCGCTTTATTTATGACACAATAACGTTAATAATCTTTATTATAAAGGTACTTTGAACTCACAAGCTTACTACGTAAAGTTAACACGTAGATAATAAATTTACAAGGAAATACTGTCTATAGTCTCCCCGTGACCACGACTGCTGCAAAGATTCCGAAACGTCGGGCCGAAGTTAAAAATCATTTTCAAATAAGTTTAACTAATATATCCCGTTTTAAACCGTTAAAGTGTTTTATTTAAATATTTAAATTTACAAGGATTTTTTTTTAATTCCATACTTTTCTGTTCATTTATTTTTTTTAATTAAATCAGCAGAGTATAAAAAAATAATGCAGGCGGAACGCTTCTTTGAAGGAATGCCTCAACATTTTAATTAATTTTGTTATTTATTTGTATTGTACAAACATTTACTACCATACAGAGAAATGTATGATATTTAGTATGTTTCTTAAGCACTTATTCAACATTAGACTCTTTATATTCAATACAACTTTATTCCATTATCTTCAAAAAAGCAATTTAGTAGTCTTTAAAAAATAAATTCAGCATATTTTTTACCTACCAATTAACATAAACTTTATAATTTAATATATTAATACGCTAAATATCATTGTTTTATCATGAGATCACTTCCAAGAAACATTTTACGTGTCATCATACTTAGCACTTCTTTTGAGAATTCCTTATTTTTTGTACTGATTTGTGCAGTAGTTATGCTATCTTGTATTGTAGAAAAAAAAGTTAGTTATCGTTTTCAGAATCTTTACGAACGGCAAATGATAGCACAAATTGAACGAAATGCGCACAAACATCCAATGTGCAAAATCGCAAAAAAGAGTGCTTAGTATGGAAAAATTACACAATTTTATAACGTGATATCTCGGATACAAATGTACAACACAAGATAACTACAGCGTAAAACTGCTCAGGAAAAATATTGTAATAATTACAAAGTAGTGTATAATTATATGAACAGACATGTTTCTTTGAGATATAACTAAAAAGTTTAATTTGTTTTTAAAACTTTAATATTTTTCACATTGCACATGATGGCATTATTTCATTTAATAATAAAAAATAAAATAAAGAAATTTTCGACTCGGGTAGGCCTTGAACCGGCATCGTGAGCGTTCCGTGCTGTTGCTCTCCAATTGAGCTACGGGTATGGAGTAACAGCACGGAAACGCGTTCTGTGCCGGGTAATCTGTTATAATTTAAAATACTTTTATTCATTAAATAAATTTATATTCTTTCAATAATTCTTATAGAAGTGCAGAAGCTCTACCACATTCTTCTAAAATGTTTATTGATAAAATGTTTTATTGTTCTAGGGAGTGGCGGGTGACACACGCAATGTCACACCATTTACATACAAACACGGCTCAAGACATTGAACTGGGATTATTAGAGCCGTTCCTTCAGTTCCTGCCGAATCCCAATAAACCAATTTTGGTGCAAATGGCTGCTTTTTACTATCCCGTTATTTACGCGTTCGTTATCTTGGGATGTTTGATAAAGGAGTATGTATTTTGTTTTGTCTATTTGTTATCTAATACATAGGATTATACTTTTCTTTATATTATATTACTCGCTGAAATGTAGAGCTATCAGAAACTTCAATATTTACATGTATCCATGACAACCACTTCTGTTTTGCCACTTAAAACCTCAGTCAATATTTACTGCAATAAACACACAACATACAAAACTAATCAGTTAGTAAATTTAATTCAATTAGCACATTCACTAAAGAGATACTTTTATTGATGGACAGATATGCTTGAGGTAGACTTGATGATGGTTAAAATTCCCCAGCCTATAATTTTGGATATTCGGAAATGCACCGACTGGAACCGAAACCTGATTTAACTTCAGGGCTTTGTCATCTGTGGACGGAGGTTCGTGACATGGACGGAATTTCGATATTCCTACCACCCATTTTATGTCCCGATTTCCAGACGAAACCCAATATGTTTTAGAAAAATTATAAATTCATTACAAAATAAATGTTGGCCCCGCTGGGGAATCTAAACCACGACCTGTTGATTATTAGCCGTACTTTGCTACCATTGCACCCATGGCCCGTAAATGTAAATCGTTTAAAAAACAAATCATTGTAAATGTTCGCCAGCTCTGAACTAGACATGATGCCGCTGGGAGCAGAGTAGCCTAACTGCATAGTCTAAAAATGTTAATCTACAAGAGCACAGTGACCGAAGTGTTAACATAATTTTTACACAAATAATGGTTAATTCATTTTCGCCTAAGTTAATTGTGCATTCTTTTTCTCCTTATTGAAAATAACGATTTTTGCTATTAGGCCACTCTGCCTCTAGCAGCCTCATATACGCCGCGGATTTATGTATTCCATTCGCGATATTTAAAACATTTTCAACATTTTCCATTTCAGCGTGGCAGTTAGTTTAGCGGGATATCGTGGGAAAAAACTGACATGGACTAATGTCATCCCATTTGCTGTACCGGTATGGATGTGGCTGGCCAGCGGATCATACTTTCCATGGGTGATAAGCGTATGGCTCCTGATGATTATATTAAGTAGTGAATTCTTCATGATCTTCGGGTTGACAGCTGGTCATCATTCTCACACGAACTTCTTCGAAGGAGATATACCTCGGTAAATTGCTTTACTTTAATTCTGATAAGATTACATGAACATAAGAGTTTTGATTTTACTCTCGAGAAGAGATAACTATGATATGCTGTCTGCGCGGGTTCGAGCCCGGACCGTTTTATAGATGTTTAACGAAGTTTAAGAAGAAAACTCTATAAAAGTAACGACTTACTTTAAAATTATAATTTTCCATGCAAACAAGAAATGTATTAAATTCCACGTCTGATTAAAATAATGCAAGAATATTTTTTTTAAATTTTTTTTAAAGTCACATTTAGTATTCTTTGTAACATATATTTTAATATTTTTTTACAGATTATATTTACGCCTTTCCGTCTAATTTAACGCCTTAGTAATTTAACTCCACCTCTGTAGCTAAACGGGTAGACGTGTTGCCTAGCATTTGGTTAAGCGCTAGAGGTCCTGGGTTCGAATACCAGGAAACTCTTGTCAGGCAGGGCTCAGAAGGCTGATCAACTACTTGCCTATACTGTCTGTAGTTTACGCTAGTAGTGCACATTGAAATAAAACACTGTAACGGTTTAAAACGCGAAATATATTAGTTTAACTTATAAAAGAAAAAAACTTATATATATTGCCTGTAAATAAGTGAGTGAAACAGACAGAGAAATGTGGTCGCTCCATGCCCCACGCGGGGAAATGGGATTTCACTTTTTTTACTAAGCGCTTACTAAAATACTTAGATTTTTTTTATTTTAAAATACTTGATGAAATTTCGCGAGATTGGTAGCTCATATCTTAACATAACATCTAAAAACAAGACGTACATCGCAAAAACTGCACGATAATTTTAAAACCTGTTTGGTTAATTACGGAATAATTTGCCGAGATAACTATAAAAAGTCGCATTAAATTCGCCCGCTTACGTCGCGGCCTCGACCCTAGAGGCCGTGCATAATATTACCTTTAGGAAAATCATTTTCTATTATATTACATTGCAACCTTGCTTGGAGTTTTAAACACATCCGCTTGTCGTTTGTCACATTATATCTATATTAGCTAAATAATTTGTTTGTTTGAACGCGGAACGCGATAATCTCAGGAAGTACTGGTTCGATTTGTAACATTCGTTATCGCTTAGATCATTTATCGAGTAAGGCTTTATTTTTTTTTTTTAGCTATAAAACATCAGGCTGCGACCAATAGGAGCAAATAAACAGTGGGAAATGTAATAAAAAAGGGACAGTTATTGATCTTTGAGGAATCCAGTTGCGTACGCTGCGAAAACAGTTCAATATACCCAACACTCGCTTTGTGTCTGGCTGATGCGTATTAGGCTGGCAATTAACACAAAGCTAAATCAATATATTTCTGTTTAAAGTCAGACTTTTGCTAATGTTTCAATAAATTATCTGACAATATAGTGCTAAATGTTATTAATACAATCGGGATAAGAATAAGCTGTTTTGGTACCATTTTTAAGCTAAGCTTTTGACCACGTAAAGACGTTACAAGTACTCGTTAGCGCTTGAATCTTTCTAGACCTTTTTAAATAAAACACTTTAACGGTTTAAAAGGTGATATATTAGTTGAAGTGAAAATTTTTAACTTCAGCTCGACGTTTCGGATGCTTTGCAACAGCCGTGGTCACGCATTATTTAACTAATTATCGCGTTTTAAACCGTTAAAGTGTTTTATTTAAATGTGTAACTAAACAAATTTTCAAATGAAAAAATACGACCCTAACTTAAACCGGCTTAACAACCAATTAGCTACCGTGTCCTACACGTCATATCACATATATTGTATTCACATCTCGTGTCAGGTTCAAGAATTGCCCGTCGTTACTTGTTTTTCAATGTAAAATCGATTTTTAATTTATATAATGCCATCGTGTGCAATAGTGAGAAACAGACTCAGACTCGCGTTTTAAACCGTTAAAGTATTTTATTTAGATGTGTACTCCTATCGTAAACTACAGATAGTATGTACTCAGGTATTCATTTAAAATAATACTATTTACCTCAGAGTATCTCGCTTATTGGCAACCTATAATATAATTAAATAAAACATATTTAACGGTTTAAAACACGATATATTTTGGTTAAACTGTTTGAAAATTATTTTTAACTACGGCCCGACGTTTCGGATGCTTTGCAGACTATATTTGACCTATCATATAATTTATTTGTACTAGGTTATTGTAACCTTATGAGTTTTATAGCACAAACAGAATCTATATTTTGTTAATTTCGAATGACTTTTCCTGTGTTTGCACTCTTTTTCTATACAAAAGGATGACAAAACATGTTTTGATATTCCGTACAATACAGTTTTAAATTATATGCTGTGCTGTACATTCCGGCTCTACTAGTTTTAACAAAGCGGGTCGCAAACTTTAATATCGCGTGTCTATTCAATTTCGTATCAATGCATTGGCGATTGTGACATGTCTATTTAATCACTTCTTTGTTGCTTCAGATTTTTTCCATTGTGTATTTGATGGGAATTTCGCGTTTAAACTCTTGTAAAATAAGCGTTAATTTCAAATGAATGTTATAAAACAATGTGTATGATGTTAATCTATACTAATAAATAAAGCTAAAGAGTTTGTTTGTTTGAACGCGCTAATCTCAGGAACTACTGGCTCGAAGTGAAAAAAATATTTTTGTATTTTACATTTATCGAGGGATGCTATGGGCTATACAACGTCGCGCTGTAACTAATACTAGCGATACAGCGGTAAATGTAAACAAAAAGGGGGAAAATTTTCATATCTGTGGGTTTCCGATGTGTACGCTGCGAAAACGGAATACGCAAAAAATAAGTACGAAAAAATTATTCTCTTAAATGATCTTAAAAAAACCGCAAGGCTATGCCTATCGTTGAAAATTAACTTGCTAGAACGACGGGAAGGGACGCGACCGACGTCATGGTAACAGCTAAGTATATAAAGATAGAGGGGTTTTTAAAAACGAATTTGAATGCCCAAAATAACTATACTGCGCGGACGAAGTCGCTGATGCAGCTAACATAATATTTTAATCGATTACACGCGCGGGAATTGAACCGGCATCTATCGCGATTCGAGCTGCTACTGTAGCTAATTAATTGAGCTACCAAATTTTACTCGTCCTCATCTAAAACTTTTCAATATTGTATAGATTAGTATGGTATGCCATTGTGTGTAATGAAAATTATTAAATTCTCGGTTATACTTCAAATTTATTCAAAATAAGTGTTGCCATCTGCATGGTGCTGTAGAAAGTTAAACATAACCGCTAATTGATAGTAGTTTCGTAGGATCCACATCATGATTTTGAATCGATTTATAACTTTAAAGATATATGTACTAACAGTCTAAAATAAATGCAATTGATGCCTAAACAGTAAATAGTATAAATTCGTATTAATCAGTATTTTAGAGAAAGTAATAGTCCTTGTCATCAATTGAGGCCGCTAGACTAGAGTAGCCTAACTGTAATTTTATGACTTGGGTTATTTATATTTTTTATAGTCTTCAAACGTTAATCTATAAGAGCACAGTGAAATTGATAACATAATTATTACACAAATAATGGTACAAATGCATTTTCGCCTAAGTTAATTTGGGCATTTTTATTTTCCTCCTTAACCCTCCGTAATTTTCATTATTAGGCCACACCATCTCTAGTAGCCTCAATTTTGTACGGATATAGAAAAAAGTTGTAACATTATTTTAATGTACATTACTATATTTTCAGATCAGACAAAATCGACTGGGGCATTCACCAGATAGATACGATAGTGGAAAACATCGACAACGCCGGAAACCACTTCAAGTCGATAACAAGATTCGGTGATCACGCCCTCCACCACCTCTTCCCAACTTTGGACCACGCTGAGCTGAAGTACTTTTATCCAACACTATTGGAGCATTGCGAAAAATACGAGACCCAACTCCGCATGACGAATTTCTATAACGCTCTATTGAGTCAAAGTAAGCAACTCATTCGCAAACGACCCAACAATTTCAGGGAAAAGACAGCAAAGTAA